GGAGAGACGGGTTCATGTAACGCAGGAAGATTTTGAGATTGCAGTTGGCAAGGTAATGATGGAGGTAACCAAGAAGAACATGTCGTCGTGCAAGATGTACAAGTAAAGTATGTTATCATGGTGTTTATTGAGCCAATGCAAGGCGTGTCTTTAACGTTTAGAAATTAGAACGCCAGTGAATATTATGAGGATACTTGCAGGCATGCAATACTAGTACAAAAAACACTTTGCGTGACGGAGGTCCTTCGTCGCGCAAAGTCAAAAAAACGTCGCGCAAAAATTAGCACAATGAACCTTCATCACGCATAAGTCGTCGTGCCAAGGCAATGACAGTAGGGTTTGCGCGATGAAGAAGTGACCTACGTCGCATTAAGTGGTTTTGCGCGACGTAGATCACTTCTTCGTCGCGCAAACCCTTTTTTTTTTTTTTGGCAATTTTTATTTATTTAATTTTTGATAAATATTGTAATTAAATTCTAAACAATAATTAATAAACCAAGAAAAAATATTTAATTATAAAAGATATGAAAATGTACATACAATATGTCTGAACAAAAAAGAAAAAACTACAAGTCTTCTAAGTTTAATACATCATGCTACTAGGTATCAGCTAGGCAAAGTGGCTGGGAAGTCGAAGGTGGAGCAAGATCAGGTGCTGTCATCGGGATTTGGAGGCCGAACATCTTTAAGACCTGTACAATCACACTCATCTTCTCGTTCTGGGCCCTTATCTGCTCATCATAGGCACTCAGCTGCTCACCCTGGGCCCTCATCTGCTCGCTTTGGGCCCTCATCTGCTCCCTGGGCTGCAAGCTAACCTTTTAGGGTTGTCACTTCCTCCTTCAGGGCATTGACCTCTCCTGTGGATGATCTGGAAGATGAGGCACCCGTCTCACGAACCCTGCCTTCCTCATACATCGAACAACTTTGCCATGACACCGAACTTTTGATCCAGGACCTAAATCACGATATGAAGGCTTGCATCCTCGTGTACAATGACGTCCTCAATCGGGGTCTCCGGGGGAAGCTGCGATGTTGCTTCTTGGAGAACAACAATGCGCTTATTCACCATAGAACAAAGAACAAGCAATGGCTGAATACATCGCAAAGGTGAAGCAGCTGCAACAACAAGAAGTAGCCTCCACATAGATCATACAACATTAATGGAGTTCTATATCTATATCTTAAACATTACCCAAGTGTTTCAAACTTTCAAGAAGAAAACACATACCAGAATGTAATAAACCAATAATTTTCAATTTCCACGGCTTCTGCTTTATAATTAAGTCATGATTTAAAGGTGTCAAAATGCTTGTGTAGTCATCCTCACAAGATTAAGGAATGGAATGCACAAGTATAAAAGTATTAAGCGAGAAAGTATATAACCTAACTAAATCAGGGCGGCTATGGAATTGTCTCAAAAATTGCAGCCTAGTATCAAAGTGAGAACAAACATCTAGTTTATTTTCATTACCAATGAACACACCATGTTTAATCAAGTGAAATGTTCATCTAACTGTAAATGTGGACAAGGAAATGCTCAACTGATAAAACAAAATGGAATTTGGGGTATGCCTATGTGTATCGAGTAGCTAAACATTTTCTATACATTTCCTCCAAGCATTTGAGTCAAATACTGTAAATTCTAACAAGAAAATGACACACATAATATTATATTTAGAAAGAAAAAAATTGAGGACATTCAAAGAAGAAAATAGTGAAGGAATAGAACCAAGTCCTTGAGCAATATGCTAACCTGGGTCAATACCTGTTGGCTGGCTGGGAATTGAAAATCTATACCTAAATTGCTTCAAACTGCAAACAAGAAACAACAATGAAATTCTTAAACCCTGAAATTCAACCCATTTCCTAATAATTTATCCCAAATAAAAACCCTGATTCAATCCCCATTTCAACCATTCACAAATTTTTAAACCCTGAATACCATCCCATGCCGTAATAATTTATCCCAAATTAAAACCCTAAATTCTAAAATTCATCTCAATTCGCAATCAAAATCCTTAATTTCACAATTTCATAATTTGTAATTAGACTTACTTCAAGGAGAGAGACGAGCATGACGAAGGGGTGGTGGCTGAGAAAAAACTGGTGCAAACAAAAACATTTTAGTAGCGTGATGAGAAAAAAAAAATGGTGCAAACAAAAGCATCCAATTCCCTAATAGAATGACACATTAATAGTTGGAACACACCTCACAACTAGCAAAATAGTCGAAAGATGATTTACCAATACCAGAAAAATATTATGCATAAGTACAAAATTCATAACCCGAACAATCACGAAACCTAGCATTGGATATGAGGCATGAGAATGGATTAGTCGGAGATAGAACGACGATTGGAATAAATATTTTCATCACAAAATTGAAATTCTAGAAAAACCCTTTCCAGTTACAATAGCAAAACTTCCAACTAAAACCCTAATCATTCTTCTTCTTCTTCTCCATCATTCCCCCCCTCTAGCAAAACCCTCCCAAATCCTACAAAACAATTTGAACCCCTAATTTGAATTGCATTGATACATTGCTTAAAATTCACAAATTTGCACAAACCCTTATTCTTCTTCTTTGTCTTCTTCTTGTTCCAACCACCCAAAGCTAGTTATCGCAACATGTAAACCGCCGATACTCAAACAAGGGAAGAAAACGAAAAGGTTCCTTTTTATGCACTACAACACTAGATAGCTCCAATTACGTCCCAAAGACTGCGAAAGACATTCGGAGATATGGTGCTTATAAATGTTTTACTACATTCAGCCCCATACCAAACAATTATAGTGCTCAGCTCTAATGTTAACGTAACTTTTTTCATACAAGCATAAAACGTTTTACCAGCTGCTAACCAATTCTACACGCATACTTGTTGATGTTTTTGGGGCATCGTTCAAATTAATCTCAAACAATTTATCAAGGAACAAATAGCATAAAAATCCCCAAATTAACAATTCACAGAAATATTGTATTGTACGTACCATCTGAGATAACAACATTTCCTACAGCACTGAAAGCCCCACTGCATTTAGAACATCAGAGACTCTAATTTGTTGCCTTTCCAAGCCTCAATTAAATTACACAAATGCAATTAACTTATTTTTAATTTGGATGTGGGAACATCTGAATGCAAAAACCTTTTGCAAGTAAAAGGCAAATGCTAGAATCTCAGTTCCCATCTTCTTATTGGCAACGTACAACACTAATTATGCTATCGAAATAAGTGAATCAGATACTCTAATTTGTTGCCTTTCTAATCACCCAATCGTTTAAAAACCCAAATCAACACAAAAAATTCAGAAATTATGTATTAAAAAAAAAAAAAAAAAAAAAAAGGCTCAGAGTGTAAAGTCGGCATCAACAAGCACAAAAAGCGGAGCTCTCAAAACATCAAAACATCACAGGCCAATTTCAATAATGATACAAGATCAAAACATCACAGGCCAATTTCAAAATGATATGACAAAATCAAAGTGACACCATCAGCAATTTCCAATAATTCACATAAACCCTAGATAAAATATTCCCAATTTGCCATTGGGTTTTAGGGAAATGGAGAAAATCGATAGAAAGAGTGAGAGAGATTGAGATTTACCGGCTGGCGCAGTCCTTGAGAAACTGCTTAGCCTTCTCGCACTTCCTGACGAACTTTCCAGGCTCCACCTCCTTAGTCTTGCACTGCGTCTTCACCACCTTCCTCGTCAAGAGGATGAGGAGGAAGGCTACGGAGTGAGATAAAGGGAAGAAAGACCGGAGGAAGGCTACAGAGTGAGAAAGAGGGCGAGATGTGCGAGAGGGAAGAGAGAAACTGAGTGAGATATGGGATCCTGCTAGGTTATTAAACTTTTGTACTAAGTGAGGATATTTATAACTTATCATAGTTGATAATAGCCCTTAAGAGTAGTTGGCTATGTTTTATGGTTTTTGTGTCTGTTCTGTTTGGTTTGAAGTTTGCACTTTTTATAGACGTTCTAATAAAACCAGTTATTGTTTTACCTAAAAAATATATTATAATTATATAACAAAAAGTGCATTGCCAATCAATGGCTTTCGTTTATATTGTGTTGTGAAAATAATTTGAGAATGAGAGAGAGGGGCCTGCTATACTTGTGAATTCTCCTTGTCACATCTCGACCTGGGGTCCACCACATCCCGGGCCCGCTCCACCACTGTAGCACGATATTGTCTGCTTTGGGCCCTGACCATGCCCTTATGGTTTTGTTTCTGGGAACTCACACGAGAACTTCCCAACGGATCACCTATCATGGGAGTGCTCTCGCGCGCTACTCACTTAACTTCGAAGTTCCTACGGAACTCGAAGCCAATGAACTCCCAAAAGGCCTCGTGCTAGGTAGAGATAAGAATATACATATAAGGATCACTCTCCTGGGCGATGTGGGATCTTACAATCCACCCCCCTTTAGGGGCCCGACGTCCTCGTCGGCACACCACGGCCAGGGTTAGGCTCTGATACCAAATTGTCACATCCCAGCCTGGGGTCCACCACATCCCGGGCCCACTCCACTACGGTAGCACGATATTGTCCGCTTTGGGCCCCGACCATGCCTTCACGGTTTTGTTTATGGAAACTTACACGAGAACTTCCCAATGGGTTACCCATCATGGGAGTGTTCTCGCGCGCTACTCGCTTAACTTCAGAGTTCCTACAAAATCCGAAGCCAGTGAGCTTCCAAAAAGCCTCATGCTAGGTAGAGATGAGAATATACATATAAGGATCGCCAGTGAGCTCCTAAAAAGCCTCGTGCTAGGTAGAGATGAGAATATACATATAAGGATCACTTCCCTGGACGATGTGGGATCTTACACTCCTACTTAGACTTTACTTGCCTCCAAGTAATACAAATCATAATGTAATTAGATCTCCCAAATTGTAATAGATTTCTATTTCTAGTTTACACACAATCACAATCACATTCTTATTATTATTATTATTTTTAAAAAAAAGATATTATCTAAGGGTTGGCTTAGCCTCACAATGGGCTAGTAATAATGTCGTTCAAATTTACCTTTGGCGAGAATCGAACCTAAGACCTCTCACTTACAAATGAAGATGAATATCATTAGACCGTAGTACGAAGTGGCACAGTCACATTCTTATTACAATACTATTTACAATATGTACTTAATTATTATTATTTTTGGATAAGATACGTTATTAATCAGCAAGAGATAGTACATATGATAGCAGAAGCCAGAAACCATCCATACACAAGTGAATATTATAAATCAAAGTTGCACTTAAGAAAAGAATTATCATCATGGAACATAAAATACAAAAAAATGCATTAGCATCAACATATGACACAGTTTTAAAGGAGGGTTAATGCTACAACCGTGTTAAGAAAAGTTAGAAATTGCATGGAATAAAACTTAACACTAGTTGTTACGTTTTTTAAAAAATAAAAAAGAAAACTGGTTTTTTTTCTTTTAATTATTTTCCAACGATTTTCCAGCATTGATTATTAATTAAAGAGTGAAGATTTTTCGGTTTTTCAAAACGACAAGATAAAGAGTGGAGATTTTCGCCAAAACAAGAAATTGCATGGAATAAAAAAATAAATAATTGAGAGAATTTTGTCAACGAAAAAAAGGAAAGAGGGAATTGAACCGACTCCAGCAAAAGATCGCTATAAATTGGGAGTGCATCCCTCCCTCTTGTAAAATTCAAAATCTTCGTCTGCTAACTTTCTCGTTGGCGTCTTACTTCTTATTCTCTCTCATATCTCACGACTCCCTACCTCGAACCTGATGGTAAGTTTCTCTCTGTCTCGCTCAGACGATAGATCAATTTCTTTCTGGCAAGATTGTTGATTACGAATTTTTGTTGTTGTAGGCTTCTGGCAAGCTTGTTGATTACGATCCATTACGCGCTGTGTATGTCAATTATCCACCATCACATGAAGAAACTGGTAAATTTCTGTTTCATGCTGTTATTTTTGGGAATATGTTTCTCTAAAGAATTTGATTGACTAGAATATTTAAATTGTGGTGTAGTACTTTTAGCAAACGAAAAGGGGCCAAAAAGATTTGTTTTGAAACTTATAAAAACTCGTATTCTCTTGTTGACCTTAAAAACTACTTAGCTTATGTTCAATTGCTCCAACCAATAGTGTAATTTTGGGTCCATACACTTATATAACATGATGAAGCAATTTGGAGTTTGAATTAGAGTTTGTCAACGAACACCCTTCTTGATGTTAAATTAGGATTCGTCGACAAATACCGTGTCAATTAGGGTTTCAATTAGGGCTTTTCGACAAACACCTTTCTCGATGTTGAATTGGTTTGTCGATGAACACCGTGTCAATTTAGGATTTCAATTAGGGCTTTTCGACGGACTCCCTTCTTGATGTTGAATTAGTGTTCTTGCATATATGACTGACAAAATTTAGCAAAAGAAAAAAATAGTACATAAATATTTTTTATGATCAATAGGATTTGTTCCAATCTTACGAGAAAAACCAAGTAAATTGAAGGTTCTATGAAGGACACTTTATGCATATTACTCGTTTTTAACTAGTTGGAGTTTGAGATTTTTATCTGCCTCTTTATATTCATATACATAGATTAATTTGATAATCTGTAAATTAATGATTTACACATAAATATATATGTACATATTGATCAGACTTGAGGAGGGAGGCTGCTGGTGATAATACTCATAGGAGAATTAGTGCTTCGCAGCATTTCACAACTGCCAAGAGGACTACAGAGTCAAATGATGAAGTGACTTATGTGGCTAGGAAAAAGGTGGTCTATCGTGACTATGGACCTCCTGGTGGCGGCGGTATTTGGTCAAGACGAAAGGAGCGAAAGGAGTATTTTGCGAAGCTTAGGGCTAAAGGATTGCTCGAAAATCTTGGGTTTAAAATTTGCGAGGAACCTTTTGCTGAGAAATATGAAGCCAAGTATACCGCTTGGTTGGAGTGTGCCAAGAAAATTGTCAACAAAAGTGGACGTCAAGAAACTTGTGGGATTTTGGAGACGTCGATCGAAAGTAGTTCTTGAGGAGGGAGGCTGCTAGATTACATTAATAATATAGTATCAAACGATACATTTTTATTAATTTGAACTGGAAGGCTTGATGTTTTGAGTTTGGTAGATTTTGAAGAATTAATGTTGTCAAGAATTTATGGTTAGTTGATATTTGTTGTGTTGGCAATGGCATGGAAAACAAGTTTGTTTTGACATTTTGGGATTTTATTGTTAGCTGAAAAAATGTGTCCCCAATCATGACCTATACACATTCTCACATCTTATAGCAATGCCGTTCACCTATGATCCTCATTTTGAGGACCTTGTGAAATTCTCCTTAATATAAGTCATCGGATTAATCTAACAGTAGATTAATTTATAAGCTTAAATCATTTATCTTATACCTAATCAAAACACTCATTTGCAAAAATATAAAATAAAATAAAAACTAGAAAGGCAAGCGGCGTTCAAGCCGTGTTTGGACTTCCAGCGGCAAAGCTTCTTTCGATGCGCGCAAAACTTTTCATGTGGCGAAATCAAAATCTATTATCACATCTTGGTTCACACGTTCAAGCAGATGTTTGAACAAACTGATTACAATTTTTTTAATCAACTGCAACATCCCAAATTGAAGAATCAAGTTGAGAGGACGTTAAAGAAAGCATACAATCGCTCACTATTTCAGAACAATCTAAATTAATAGAAGCTGCAATTAACAATCAGGAAAGCCACAAGGAAAATTCCTTTGGAGAAGCTTGAAGAGAATTCAAATTTTCCGTTGACGGAGCAAAATATAAAGCATGTGCTGCTCTCCTTTTTCATACGCAAAAAAGTAAAAAAAAAAAAAAGTTATGGGAGAGGGAGATGGAGAACCTTTCTTCAAAGAGTAAACCCCGGTGAAAGACGGTTGCCTCTCTGCTGACTGGAAGATTTCACGCGTGAAACTTTCTGCTTTTATTTTCTTTAATTTCTCTTTTTCCTTTTAATTAGTTGCGGGCTCTTGTTTGTTTATGTATAAGTTATAACAGGGATAATTTTAGTTCTTAAGTTTATCTAGCACTAGCAGCATTGATCTTATATTACTCATTACGGTTCGAAACTTCTATTCTTTCCTCTAAGATCGTCTTACCCAAATCTAAAGTCATATGGTAATTGAATTAGATTATAATCATTTTAGAGTTTATTTGAAGAACCGTATGGACACATTATTATTTAACAAATACGTTTTGTATTATTTTAATCTTGTTCTGCTAAACAGATCCTTGTACAACTGAAATGGTGGAAGTTGGAAGGGAGGAGCACAAATCCCACACTTGCATTGGTAGCCAAAGATGTGTTGGCTATTCAAGTGTCAACAATGGTTAGTGAGAGTGCATTTAGCACTAGAAAAGAGTAATTTACCCCTTAGATCATCTCTCACTCTTAAAACAGTGAAGTTATTGTTATGCCTCCAAAACTGGATAAAAATTGAAGACATTAGCAACCTTGAGCATGAAGTAAGTGCGTTTGAGCTCGGATTTTATCAAGAGTATGAAACCAATAATTGTTTTGTTTTCTATTCGTTAACATGCTTCTTTATTCTCTGTTGTAGAGCATCAAAAAGGAAAAGCAAATACTATAAGTACAACTACAAGTCCCTCAAGTAGAGTGAGGATCCCGAGAATCCTCAAATCACATCTGTTCATCGTACATCGTGCGGTCAGAAATCATTGTAATATTTTTATTTAAAATTGAATATAAATAGTACCTGACGAAAACTGGATGCATGATGCATGATAAATTGATGTGATTGGAGGATCTCCGGGATCCTCACAAAGAGGATCCGACGAGGATCCTTTGGCCCTCAAGTATTCTTGAAACTCAAACAACTCAAAAGAATAAAGGAATTGTGTTAATATCTCTAAACTCAAATTAATACACTATATGATTTAATCAATGAGGCCTTGAAACAAATGTGAGACGAGAATAAATTAGACCTGGCAATCGTGTCGTGTTTCTTGTGTTTGTGTCGTTTTTGTGACATACCCGATATCTTGACAGATCGTGTCGTATAACACCCGAATATGATCCGATCTAAAATCGACCCATTAATATTATCGGGTAATATAACCTAACTCGTTACTCATTAAAGATAATATTTTTTAAATCAATAATGAAAATGAAAAATATAATTTGACCCAAAAAAATGGAAAACATAATAATTAGTATATGCATATCACATTGTGACATAAATATTACTTTAAAACTACAAAAATAAAAAAAAATAAAACAAAAAAAAAACATTTGACTTTCAAGTATTACGTACCCCAAAATAAGAGCCTAATGAAAAAACATCATTACATTACTACAAAATACCAAATGTTCAAGGATATGCAAAATGAAGGGAGTTGCGTTTCAAGGTTGAGGACGCAATCACGAGCGTTTATATATATGCTTTCGCATTTTTTCAACTTGTAGATTAATGATTATGAGTTTTATTTATTTTAAACTCCCGTAAATATGCTATTCATGAGGTTTTGTATGGTTCTAAAATTTCAAATGGTGATGTACCCATCCTCCAAGCGTAGATCACGAGCATTTGCCTAATTTTTTTACATGTTTCACACTTGTAAATTAATTATTATAGTTTTTCAAAGTGTTTGGTAGTTTTACTTGATATTTTTATTTTTAATGTGTTTTGTAATTTTTAATTTCACTCTTTGCCTATGGTATACTATAAAATAAATAAATAAATAAATAAAACTTAAACTTTTAAAATTTATATAGAATAATAATACAATAGTACATATTTGATATACAATATATAGATATACATTATGTCTATTGTATTTTATAGTAAGTTTTTTTTTTATGAGTTTAAAAAATTAAAATCATCAAAATAACATTTTTCTTAACGTGTCGAAACGGGTTACCCACATGTCACCCTCATGTCAACCTGTTAAGGACCCATTATTAATGGGTTCTTATCGTGTGACCTAATAACAACCCGATTAGTTATTGTGTTGACCTGAAACCTCTTATTTTCGTGTCATTTACATGTCATGTTAACAGATCGTGTAATAAATTGCTAGGTGTAAATAAAATGATATTTTTATTTTCTTTCAGATTCAGTGAGGAATGATGCCGCTATGCTAGGGAGACAAAATTTGTAAACTAAATTATGTGTCACAAATAAGAATGAGCATGTTTATTAACGCTTAAGTAATAATTCAATCATCAATTTCCATGTCATCTAGTTTACAAAATTTTATCAATAAATTTAATCTCCCTAGTATTACTTTTTTATCTTTGTAACTTGTTATTGCTACTACATGGTTTGAGTAATAATATCTAACTTTGGACCCATGGACCAAAGAAAAGCAAAGGCTTATTAACAAAAATTTTACTAAAATAAAAAATTCGTGAATCCTTAGGAATCGGCCCGTTCTATTTACAAACCACAAATATGTCTAGTCCGATCCCTCCAATTGTGGGTTCAGTATAATTTATTTTTCATATTTTCAATACGGCCCACAAATTATGAGTTTATTTAAAATCTCATTAACATAAGCAAGAAAAATTTTAATTTTTTAAGTTAAAAAATATAATAACCAACATGGAAATAAATTAATATCAGATACTATGATAAAAAAAAAAAAATTGAAAATCAATGAAGTTTTAGTCAAGAACATTTGGTAGCTAATGATTGCAACCAAATTCTCGCTTTAGTTAATTAATTATCCAAAGCTATGAACTAAGATATGATATCCTAAAGTTGGATATGCTGCTCAAACAATACTAAGTTGGATGTGTTATGCTTCTCCCGTTGACCTTCAACACGCTGGGACCTTAGGAGTATCTGTATTCAGATAATTATACTATCTCTCGACTCAATGTTGTCTCAATCGAGTAACTATCACCTTTTTGATGATATCCTTAAGTTGGATATGCTGTTGGTGCTGCTTCCCTTCTCTTTCCAATACTGGTATAGATCTCTGACTTGGTTCCCAAGCAAACCTTAAGTCAGGTTACCCTTTTCTCAGCTCACCAAAATATTGCCTCAACCGGGTAAGTATTTGCTTTCTTGATACCCTTACGAATACTTACTTATTTTGGAATATTTTCTTTGCGCCAAAGTAAGTTCCTGTTTCCTATTGGAGGTTTTCCCCGCATAAAAGTGCGAGTACCTCCCTCCCTTCCTCTAAAATTCAAGTAGTCCGTCATCGTCTTATTCTTCCTCCTAAAACCTAACTCTCTCTCTCTCTCTCTCTCTCTCTCTCTCTCTCTCTCTCTCTCTCTGCTACTGTTTTACCTTAGTTGTGATATTACTGTCTTCTTGTTGTGCTTTACCAAATACCCATTCTCATACTATTCTAACCATTGCAGAGCCATATGTTGATTAATTTGAAACCTTGAAGTTCTATACTTGGCCAAACCTAGTAGTTGAGAGACTCCGACCGCAGTCGGACATTATATTGAGCTCTCCACAACTCTTGCTTAAACATGAAAGAGGAAGATCGTCCACGTTTCAGGTCCATTACTTTCCTTTAATTAATTAATATGAATTTGTTGTGTAAGAGTAGTTCTAGAGAACTTGCCTGATGAATGTCATAACTTATACAATATTCTTCTTATGGCAGTGAAGACGACATAATTAATTGGGCCACCAGGGGCACTGTAAGCTTAGTCGCTAGAGAGCAATTCCTTGAAGACACATGCACTTGCTTTTCTGTAGCTGAAACCGTGGAAGCAGCGTATAGGCACATCCGGGGGGATGTGAAAGCAGAAACTCTTTCCGCCCGAGATTTGGCTATATACGTTGGCTCTCCCTACATAATGACAGATGATGTAATTTCTGGGGGTAAATGTTGGCCCGAATTGGCATATAACTTCATTATAAAAGAAGGCATGCTTACTGAAGAGCAATGCTCTTATGAAAGTGAAAAATATAAAGAGCTAGCCTACAACAACAGGAGACCTCGTCCAAGAAAAGTTCCTAGATTCCATATAGATGACTTTGAAATTTTATACGATGAGAAATTGATAGTGGAAGCCCTAAAGACGATTCCAGCACTTGCTATGGTCATATCGATTGACTACTTCTTTTTTGAATGGAAAGATGTATTCGAAATTTATGAGCCCAAGCCTCAAACTTATGATAATAATTATGATCTTCATACTGTTACGGTGGTGGGTTATGGTAGATGCAACATAACTGGCAAGGAGTATTGGATCATAAAGAATTCGTGGGGGAATAAGTGGGGAGACAAGGGCTTTGCTAAGATACTCAAGGGCTCGAAATATTTTGTCCACAGTGCCTCTTACCCAGTCATATACAAGGAAAGATCCCCATCCTATGAAACTTGGGTTGATCGCCATGTCGTCAAGCGTAACGCATGCGTCTACAATGAATGTTGCCTATCTTTCCGTAGTCTTGTACGTTCTTCTTCTTCTTTTTTTTAATTTCTTTCCATATAGGGTTTCAATTTCTCTGACATATGGTGTCTCTTTGATGAGTTTCAGAAATCTGATGGTGAGCTGTTTATCGACTTAACCACATATCTTGCATTTGGAAAAAATTATGTGCGTTGGAACCACGAGAAGACTGGAAATCCAGTTTATTTGCATATAATGAAAAAAGATATGTGTGCTTCTGAGGATAATAACCAGAAAATTCGAAAGCGCTCTGTGCCAGGTAATTTTAGTCAAGATTGTGTTATGATTGAGGTTTTTTAGTCTTTTTCTACGCTATATTATATCCTTGATATTGGGGAGTTTTAATGAAAAGCTTTCGGTACTATTCACTTTAACGAAAAATCACATTTTTACTCTAAAAGGTCAATCTGGTACCATTCACTTACAACATTTTTTGGTCATTTTCGTTAAAACTCAAAGTTTTCAAGTTATTTTCATTAGTTTTCCTTTGATATTAATGATTTGTGTGATTAGTTTTCATATGTATATTTTCTAGATTTCGAGTAAACCTGAAATTACTTTGATTACAACGTGCATCCCCCCTTCCGAGCAGTCCTGGGACCTTGCTTCCAATTACATCCACCACTGGGTGCTTGAAAATTTTGAGATTGAAAAAATAAATAAATGGCAAAGTTGTTTATATTACTCTTTTCTTCTCATATTTGTCTATATGATATGACAGACAATGTCGGATCTGTCCGCGATGAACCTGTGTATGAAATAACTAAAGAGATGGTCGTATTCGCTGATGATGGACAAGTGCAAAAAATTCCTTATGGAAGCCTACGAGATGAGGTGCCTCTTCCTTTTTCCGTAGACAATTGTTTTATGTGAAAAATTAAAAATAAAAAAAATTAATGAGATTTCATGATTGCAGTTCAAGGAAGCGGTTGATTTCTACTGTTGGAGGAGGAGTGAGATGCTTCAGCTTCAAACTGAACATACGGTATTGGTTTTTATGTCAATTTGGTAACTGAAGCGACTTACTTCTCTTAATTTGGTAATTTTGTTTTGGTTTTCTATGCTGCTAACAAAACCCAATTATTGGCCAAACTGAGAGTCAGTTTGGTATTATTGTGTTTTTTTAAGAAAACTGTTTCTGTTATGTTGTGAGAATAAACAGTTATAAAATAAAGTTATTGGGTTTTAGTAAACTTTTTTTTATTAATGCTTTTAACAAAAAGAAAAAAAGAAAAAAAAAGATCCCGAGTGTTTAGTAAACTTTTATATAAATTGTTGTGAATATATTAAATGACTAAAAATGATATAGTACTTAATGTGATACAATAATTGTTAAAGAGAATAATGTATGAGCAATGATTGTAATTTTGTAAAATACGTAGGAGTATAACTTGCTTCTGCTTTTTTATGTTTTTTTACCGTCATTGACAACCATTAAAAAAAAATCACTTTTTTTTCTGTCAAACATATTTAATGTTCTATATTTTTTAATAATTTTTTTTCTTCAAAACCATCACAATTCCAAATCAATCATAAAAAAAAAAAAAGCAACGTTATTGTAAGTGAAAGCGAAGAAAATAATGCAATTTACTTATTATTTTATTTATTTTTTGGATAATAATAATTAATAGAGGTGTTTTGATATAGGTGCCTAGTTTTTTAATTTTTTAAACTAAACATATACTCTTTTTGAAAATTTGATCAAGCATTTTCCTAAAATTTTGGTTATTAATTTCAGTTTTTCACATAAGTTTATTTTGTTTAGAATTTTAGTTTTTCACGACTTTTCCTAAAAATTTCGTTTTTTTTTCCTCTTATCCCTATATTTATGCATTTATTATCCATCTCTATGCATTTTTTTATTGTTTGTTATAATTTTACTTTTTTTTTGTGTGTGAATATAGGAGAATACTTATACAAAAAAAAAATTGTCAAATTTTATTATTTAGAAAACTCAACACATAATAAAGATTTGTTTGATTATATAGCTACATCTAGTTACCTATAATATGGACACATTTAGTTTTATAGTGGATATGATTTTTTGTATTTCTTGGTACATTTGGAATGTAAATGTATCAAAAGGATTATCAAATAGAGACATTTGGTTTTGTGGTCACTACAAAAAAAATGAGCACTGCACACAAAAAATTATATGTGCCTTTTGAGGCCAAAAAGCACCAACATTTGTGCTCATAGACCAATAGCAACAGTGCAGCAACTAAGTTTGTATCTGTGCCCTCTATGGGCGTCACCATTACTTATAGCACACAATATGATGTTTTGTGCCCAAAGCTAAGCACAAATACAACCCTTATTGTGTCTTACCTCTAATAAAGGCTACTGAATGTATGGTGTAAGATGGGCACAATTGCTATTTTAAAGGCTCAGATTGCTGTATAAATGTTAAAGCAAGGGCACAACTTTAAAATTGTGCCACTATTATATTTTAATAAATACAATAAAACTCCAGCACAATTAAAAATTTGTGGCATAATTGGATATTTTTATTTAAACATGGAAATCATCAGGTTGCTCATAGAACCTAATTTCCACCTAAATTTAGAAACTTACAAATCATCCATTACAAACTAAACATAAATCAACATTAGCACTAAAATAGTGAAGTTAATATATTACATAACCCATGTTCTCGGCTAAGACCGATTCATGCAACCTAACAATACAACCCATCCAAATGTTAAACCAAAAAATACATGTTATCCTATGCTGGACATACCCGGGATTCTCTATATACAACAAAATATAACATATCCAAGCTTGTATCCCCAAGTCAAACGTACTAATGGTTAAACTAGCAATATATAAACAAAATACACATCTACAAGGGCTGCTTGATGACAACTAACCAGTATTCTCACTTTGGCAGTCCTCATGCATCATAGCACTAGAAATTGGAGGTCCACACTGCACATTCTTGTCATTTCCACCTTCGAAACGCGTTGAAATCTGAGCGTGTGAGCTTCCACACCCTTGCTGCTGATATATATATCTTAGAATGACATTCCACCCCCTCCTGCCAATATCCTTTTAGAATGACATTCCTACCCATTTGCAAAACAAATTACAAACAAATCATAAGAGTATCTTCATTCAGAAAACCTGACTTCTAAACATGTCAATGTCCAAAATTCTCCCATTTTCAACATGCATTTTTCAAGAAGAGACATACACTGGCACACATACAATGAAAATCATATGAAAAAAAGAGCCAAGAAATCACATAAAAGTATCAATCTTTGAAATTTTATTTTCCTTTCCCCCATCACAGCCAAAAAATAAAGGGTAAGTCTACAAATATCAATTTTCATGCCACAAATTTGTGATACATTACAATCTAAAATCACACACATACATCATGCATATACATACATCAGAGGGAAGGAAGCAAATATTTTCAACAAACGCGATGTAATTCCTTACCTGAGAAAGGTTTGGCCCGGTGATGTGTACTATCCAAACTTTGCACATCCAGAAAGTGAAAAATATGACCTACCAAGGAAATCAGAGCATGCATGTGTTAGGTTTATCATTTGTCTGTCAAACTGTGCAGTAGAGACCAAAACTTGGAATCGGCATTGAGAACTCACAAGCACTGACGCATTGCTACTTTATTATACTAAATAACAACGAACAAAACATGCAACTTAAATGAGCAGCTAAACCATCATTACTAGCAAACAAGATGTAAACAATACAAGTTTGGACAATCATTTAGCTTAGGTCAAATGCAGTGAGATAAATCTCAATGTTATGACATTAATTTCTAAGAAAGATAGCAAATGCTAAAAACCTTATAGGATCTGCAAAGCAGCGTCTAATAAATAAGTATTTTGAAATCTAACCTTGCTTATATTCCCCAGTTTTGCATCTCATCCAATCTTTGCTCCACAAACGAACTAATCCGGATGATATGTGTGGTATTTGGACCTCTCACTGCCAAAGTCATGAATAGTACCAAAAATTAAAACGATTGATCTAATTCATCAACTTTAATCAACAAACACTACACGTAAATGTAGAACTACAAATATTTTAAACATGTAAAAGTAACTCATGGATAAGAAAAATACAAAATTAATCTACAAAAGCAGAAAGTGGTGAAACGGTTCTATCAATTTCAAATCGAGATCAATCCCGACAAGAACCAACATAATCAGCCAATTATGCATATGAACCTTTGCCTCCTTGAATCCATGGGACTTTACAATGTGGGAACCCAACTGATTTTTTAGCAAAAGAAGTGTCATTTATTTGATTTTGGAGTAATAGTTGTTTTATCCTGCCAATTAGTAGTCTGTTTTTTTTAATTAGCTTATGAAAAAAATGGCTTTAAGGATAATGCAAATGAGGCATCTTTCAAGGGGCATATGGAATGTGTCTCCCACCATTTCAATGACTTTTTTTAATCACTATGATCTTCTACATCTCTCCTCTCAATTCATGAATTTCATTGACAAATTTCTCATTAACTAAGGCATTTAGCATCATGCCCTTTTTTTGGTAAATCAGATATTACAATTTTACACTTGCTTAAATGATGAGTTTTATTATGGTACTAATAGTTATCTAAACCTACCACATGATGACTCACACTTTTGCCTAAAATCTGATAAGACTGCCTTAATATGTAAACCTGAGTGGAAGATTTATGTAAAGTGAACTCACACATTTATCTTTTGTAGATGAAGGAATGAATGGAAGAAGATAACCAACTTCTGCACTACCTGTATGATTTGTTTGTTCATGTGATTGATCATGGGTAGTTTAGCTAGATCACAAAACTCAATCCATCGGAGTGACACCGGATTACAGTTTAGGCCTCCTCTTACACCATCTGTCACAAGCCCGATGCTTGCATATGAACCTTTGCCTCATTGACTCCGTGGGACCTTACATTGTGGGAACCCAACTGAGTTTTTGGCATCTTTCATTAACTGGAAAATAAAAAATAAAAAAAAACAAAAACAAAAACACTGTAATTATCATGTAATCGTATCTTAATCTCACTGCCATTTCAAATTAAGGGAAAGAAAAAGTTGAAAACCACCTGAGTCAACGAAATATCCCGTAATCATACGACATGGAAATGAACTTAAATAATTAAGTTAAATTCAACAATTTGGCTTGATTGATATTGGTCGACTATTTCCAATCTTTCTTTCCGCGGGGAAACAAAAGTGACTACATGGAATTCTATTTTATTTATTTTCCTTCATCTCCTAGGCAACCCAAAACAGAAAACTTAAACAAAAAATGCCAGAAAAGTTGATGAAACAAACTACAATAAGCTATAAACATTAAAAATTAAATGACCAATTTAAAACAAGAATATTACATGCGACTAAACTTTGAAATTCCGAGCAGTCTCCAAGCGAGTAAACTTTGACATGCATACAGAAAAGGGAATTAAAATTCAAAATCTAAAATGGAACCCAAAACTGAAAGTTTTTATTTTTGAAAAGAACTTACACTGGAGGACAACCCACTAAGAGATGATCATCTTTACCTCTAGGATCGAGGTCCAATTCTGCCAGGCTTGGCCGAAAACTGGCCAAAAAAATCCGCGGTCACCATTTCTTAGATATGAAATTGAGGAAATCCGGCTATGAATTTGTAGAAACTAACTTGGGGGTTGGAAAGAGGACAGAAATAGGATTCTTGAGGTATAATTTGACGGTCGTTGGTGATCGGAGGACGGCGGTGCTGTTGCGTGCAGAAAAATGGGGAGAAAGAGGATACGGGCGGGGGAAAGGAAGGTGGCTAAGGACAAGGAGAGTTTGAGAGAGAGAGGCGTTAAGTAGAGTAAAAGTAAATCTAAAGGATAAAAAAATAATATTTATTTAAATATATTAAATTAGAGGGCACAAAACCCTTTTATTGTGTGTTTGGAAATTAATAAAATAATATCTATCTCTGACATTAAAAGGACACATGCAAGCTGGACACAAAATTTTGTGTTCAAACTTTTGTAGGCACAAATACGTGACACAAACTAATGTGCTTTTTTGTTAGAGGGCACAATTGAAATATTTGGGTGTACAATGGACCTTATAAAGCACAATTATGTATTTGTGCTCAATGAAAATGAGAAGGGCACAAATCAATTGTGTTCTTAGCCCATTTTTCTTGTAGTGGGTACATTTGTGATTTTTTGTTCATTTGGTCTTTTGGTATATTTGGAATCTAAACGTACCAAAAGGGTTACCTGACAATGGGCACATTTGGTTTATCTGTACATTTGAAATCTAAACGTACCAAAAGGGTTACATAACAATGGGTGCATTTGGTTTTATGGTACATTTGAATTTTTGGTAAATTTGGTTTCTCGGTACATTTGAAATCTAAACATACCAAAAGTCGATACTTTTGTTCTCAAATGTACCATAAGTTTTAAGTATATTTTTTATATATCTATACGTGAAAAAATATATATTGAAGACTTTTTATTGAGACATTTTTAATAGAAAGATATTTTTTTTTAAATACTGATAATAAGGTAATGAGGAATTAGTTAATTAATTTTTTATTTTATTTTATTAAAAAAAATGTCATTTAATGTGTAGAAGGGGATTCATGAAATTAAATTCCTATATTGTAGGCAATTAGTTGCTAAGTTACCTTATGCCTCTATATAAATGCATTTAAATTAATGATATGGAAATTAAATAAATAGAAAATTATTGAGGTGACAATTGATCAAAGCACCTTAATCAAATCTTTATAAGAGATGAATGTTTAATCTAACAACTATAGAAAAAATACAGGGCATTCTAATTTCATTCTTGTTATTAGGCTGAAAGAAAGCTTAACCAGAATACCAATTTTGACGGGAGCCAAATAAAAAAGGCCTTTGGAGGAGGTTACACTGGACTTACTAATTTGGGAAATAGGTAGCTTTCGTACGTGTAATGTTGCTGAAAACGCTTCTTCTTTTTTTTTTAAGCGTCCTTTCTCTTAAATGGGTTTACACTGATTTGAGATTTGTTTTGCAGTAGCTATATGGCAGCGACAATGCAAGTTGTGTTATCAACATCCTTGTTCTCTGTAGGGTTAGTATCCCTCCGCCACACCGCCACCCCACCCACCCCACCCCCAGCCCCACCCCCCCCCCTCCCTCCCTCTTTTAATCGGTGTAAAAAGGGGAATGAGCTATATTATTTATTATTTTTATTTTCACATTGCATCAGATTCTACGACGTGCAAAGTTTAAAAGAGGCATTTGAGAAGGCTACAGCTGACCCCTCTGTAGACTTGAACATGCAAACGTAAGTACGTAGGGAATTCTAAGGATTGATTTTTTAAATGCATTTCTGTCGCTAAGATGTGTTACTAGTTATTAGTGTTAATTGTCACCAATTTCGATTGTTGTTTATGAATAAGAGTTTCTGGTTTATACTCACTACTCCAAATGCAAACATGGGTGTGTATTTCGGTTATTGAATTTGTTTCTATTTTTCTGGCTTTTCTTCTTATTCATGAGATACTGTAGATTGCTTCATCCACATTTTTGGAAAGACTTATCTTTTGTTTTGCATGACAGAGTTAAGTTGGCGCATGGTTTGCTATCTGGTGAATACTCATTAGCTCCTGTAAAAAAGGTATGTCCGGAACGCTTTCTTATTTGTTCTGCCCATATATTTCTACTCATTTCCTCTACTGGCTTGTTTATCCTCTATATAATTTTTGCATTGCTAGCGCAATTTGTTTGGACTTGATTGTGACACCCACTTATTTGTGTATGCTTGTAAAAACATTTTTCGATAACTTTGTTTATACCTCAAATCTGTTTTAATCATTGTGTTTTCGATTTAATTTATTTTTTTATTGGTTTCATCTACGTTTGCAACTTTAGACAATGCCATCAGTTTTCTGCTTTAAAATATTTATCAACTATTTTAAAATTAGTAAAAAGGACATATATAGTTATTCAAAAAGATTATAAATACATTTTGAGATTAGAAATAAGATTAAAAACAAGAGGGTATAATCGCGGGAGAGTTGGGGGGGGGGGTGAAACGAGAAGGTGTGAGTGGCTCTTGTACACAGGGAGAGATGTTAGGTTCTTCCATGAATGACGAGTTTTATACCAATTATTATGGTTAGAACTTAGACCATCGTGTACCATTAACGGGAGTTGTGCCTAACACCTCCCAAGAGAAGAATACTACTAAATCATAATACTAGTTGCAATGATCATCATTGAGTTAGGATGTCCTCATTGGTGTTTACTAATCATTTCCTGTTCTTTCATGAAGCAATCAGAGAAACAAGAAGGGATACCGCCTCAAATGTTTAAGACGACGATGGCAGCCAGCTATTCAAAATTTTCTTCCATGAAAGAACAGGTGAATTGCCTAATTCTTCTTGCTCTCCACTATTTTTATTATATGAGACACTTTGTACAACTTGACAATATTGTAAACTCAAAATTATTATCATTCTTGCTCTGACTGCTTCAATTTTAATATTACTAATACCTGAAACCTTTTTTTCGTTTAGGATGCTTATGAGTTCTTTCTACATTTTCTTATTCAAATTAACAATCTTCATACTGACGGTGGGAGGCGCGGGAGACCTATGTTTGATCCTTCGAGCGGTTTCACGTTTGATATTGATCTTCGTCCCACCTCTGGAGTTCCTTTTTTCCGTCGCTGTTTTTCTCTTTCCCTAATAATTCCAACTGACGGTCCTTCAACAAGCATTTCTCTAAGAAATTGTCTTTCGTCCTCGAACTTCAACCTTTCAGAAAAGAGAATGCATGAACAGAGTGACTGGTACACTAAAGAGAAGAAAACAATTATGTAAGCTTTCTGATTATTTTCTGGTGTCAATGTATTCTCTTGATGATGTTGTGTCTGCTAAAATTTGTCAACATTCTACGATGAAGATAAATTATTGTCAGTACACGATGATGTCTCTTAGTAACCATATCGACAAAAAACAAAAATAAATGTTGTCTCTCTGTCTCTTACCTTCCTGTTTTTTTATTAACTGCAGGGAAGCACGTCTAAATTCGTTCCCTAAGTACTTGGTGATGCACATGCAAAGGTTCGTAAAGGAGCCGGGGGTGGAGAACAAGCTTGGTAATTTTCTTTTAGCTTCCCAGTTTGTTTCTATTTATGTTGAGTTTTGAAGGATTCTCATTTTCTTGTCTCTCTTTATGCAGATGTCAGAATAGATGTTGATGATATCATAAACATTGGCCATTTACACAGGGAGAGAGGTCAAAATGGAGGAAGTTAGTTTTTCGTACCTAATCTTTCTTTTTTCTTCTGCACATATATATGAGAAATTTGCACAAACACCACACAAACTACATGGACGTCAAAATTAAGGCTGCATGTGCTGAGAAGTATTAACTGAATTGTTGATCTAAAACTGTGTAGATGGTACGTACATTGACACGAGATGTAAAGTCTTGGTGCGTGTTTATATGATCTGTTTCATTAATCAATCAAAGTATTCTCACCTGTAAAACAAGATAACATACGCATGTTAGGCTATGTGCAGGGTATAAGCTATCAAAGTATTCTTTATATGTTATGGGTTTGTTTTGTATGTTTTTCACTGCTAGATGGCTATGTGCAGGGTATGAGCTTATTGGATTCATAAGTCACCTTGGAACCTCTATTGATCATGGTCGGTATATTGCACACATCTTGAAACGTGGGAGCTGGGTCGTTTTTGATGATGACAAGGTTGGAGAGTATTGTGAGGGAGGCATCCCTGACAAAGGCAATGGCTATCTTTATTTCTTCGAGAGAATGGAAAAACGTACTTTGTAAGACAATTTTTGTAGACGATAGTGTGGAACCCTGCAACAAAATTATTGTTATTATTATTTTTTTTTATAAATGAAATAGTATACTAAATGTAAATAGTTAAATACCATTTTTTAAAGAGAAAAATACCATTGTTTGCGAGATGCTATTTATACTGGAGATTTGTGCATGCTAATGTTTGAAAATTTGAGTTGAAATTAAAGATAACATCCCTTGAAACTATGAACTGCTTGACTTTGCCAATTTGTTTACGTAACCAACCACAAGAACAACAACAAAGCCTCATCTCATTAAGTGGCCACCAAGTGGGATCTGTTGTATGAATCTTAAAACGTCAACTATGCTCGGTTTTACGCTAAGTCTTCCGTTAGCTCTAAGTACTCATTGTCTTTTCTTAGAGTCTCTTTCCAAGTCTTACTAAGTTTCTCTACCTCTTTTCCTCCGAACTTCTGTCTCATAGTCGCATTTTCTAATCGAAACATCAGTAGATCTTCGGTTCACATGTCCAAATCAACTTAACAGATTTTCTTTCATCTTATGTTTAATTACGGCCACTCCTACTTTACCTCAAATATTCTCGTTCTTAATCATGTCTTTTCTCGTGTCCCTCGCACATTTAACGAAACATTCTCATCTCCGCTACTATTATTTTTTGCACATGTTAATGTTTGATTGTCTAACATTATGTGCCATAAAACATTGATAGTTTATTGTCGTTCTATAAAAAAAAATTCTTAAGCTTTAGTGACATACTAAATGAGGATATTTATAGTAGAGTTAAGGCGGCTATAACTTATCATAGTTGATAATAGCCCTTAAAGATTAGTTGGCTATATTTTATGCGTTTGAGTCTGTTTGGTTTGAGAACCCCATGTGGTTCAATGGAGTCCCTTTTTGAAGTTTGTGCTTTTTATGGATGTTCTAATAAAATTGTTATTGTTTCACCTAAAAAAAATATAATAATTATATATATGAAATATGTAATTCATGGTCGTGTATATACAACCATATCGACCACAATATAAGTTTTATCAATACCTTGTTCATCATGGATGCTGACTTGATTGTCTTCTTCTGTTATGGCTTTCTCTTCAATCATGACATCACTCGAATTGGCGATTCAACTTCATTTCTCTATCCTTCTTGGCATATGAAATCATCAAATATTTTTTCCTCCACTACGTTTTCTTTTATTTGAAAATAACATTTTCCGTTCTTAAAAGAAACAAATCATATTTAAACAAAAACCATACCTTTACAATAACTTTCTTCATCCTACGCCAAGATCGAATATAAATTTTTTTCCTTCTTTCTTTTGTGCCTTCTGCAAAACTATACCACCAAAAAGCAATATTTTTCCGTAGACGAAAAGTAGCTATCTTGACCATCTTCTCCTCTAGAATAATCATTTTTTCGAAGAATTGCTCCACAATAGAAACCCAATCAAGAAAATCTTCTATGCATTCATCACTCTCAAAACAATAAATTTTTCTAACATCAAGGGAATGAGTTTGGCTTGAGGCAAATCCTCTAGTGCATTCCCCATCAACAAAAGACCGTTTACAACCACACCACAGACGATCTTTGGTGTGCCACACATAGCCTTCATCCCACAATCAACGTTGGAAAGAGATTTGCATCTCCCACAATCAATTGTCATTAGAACATGGCAACTCCCTGCTCAGATACCAATTGACGCAACACAAGCGTAGAGGGTTACAAACGTATGCTTTCATACTAATTGACGCAACACAAGTTAACAAGGATATAAGCGTAAATCCTTGAAGAACAAAGTTTCTAGAATCCACTAGTTTGATGAATCCTAAAGGATAATTTGATTAATTGAAGAGTTGATCATTACAATGGGTAACATTCACGACTTAAATAAGTCATTTACAACACATTTGGACAACTCAAAAGGCTTAGGGAATTAAAACGAAAGTAAATAACAATGACATTAGTCGAACGACAATTGTGACATCCCACATCGCCCAGGGGAGTGATCCTTAAATGTATATTCTCATCCCTACCTAGCACGAGGCCTTTTGGGAGATCACTGGCTTCGGGTTCCGTAGGAACTCCGAAGTTAAGCGAGAAAGGGGCTAGAGCAATCCCATGATGGGTGACCCACTGGGAAGTTGCTCGTGAGTTCCCAAAAACAAAACCGTGAGGGAATGGTAAGCCCAAAGCGGACAATATCGTGCTACGGTGGTGGAGCGGGCCCGGGAAGTGATCCGCCCCGGGCCGGGATGTGACAACAATTGAAATGTCTGAAATTTATTACAAACACGACATATTATATGCCCTTTTTTTTTTTTGGAAAAAAAATTTGCCCACTTTTGACACTATAATATTTCTTGCTATGTTTCCTATCACCATATTGATTGAATCTGATATTTTCCAACTTTAATTCTTCTTTACCAGAATTTGAAACATTTTATTTTCTTTATTTCTTCGTAGAAATTGACTCATATCTTGTTCTACATCACATTCCCTAATGTGAGTTGCTGTTATTCTTTTGCTAACTTTATTTCAAATCGGTTTTTAATTATTTCAGGGAACATGCTCCATGTATCATTTTTATTGATGAAATCATGAGTATTGGATTTGCTTGTATGGAATCTGATAGTGGCAATGGTGACAGCTATGAGGTGCAGTAGACGATATTGGAGCTTTTAAACCAGCTTGATGGACTTGAGGCATCAAACAAGATCAAGGTACTGAACATAATGTGGATTCACTGGTTAGAAACGCAGTGATTTATTTATGAACTTTTAGGGTGCATTTGTTGCACCGAATTATCTCGGACTGGACTAGGTTCAAGGACTAAGTTGGACTGGCTTAAACTAGGCTAAGTTGGACTAACTTAGTGAAGAGTTTGGTGCAGTGTCGGACTAAGAAGCAGGATAATGGAAATAGTATTGTCACCAGTTTGATGTTTGTTTGGACTGAGACTAAATTATTATTCTAATTTAATTTCTTTTTATTTAAAGATAATATCAAAATTAATAATATTATATGAGAGTATGACTCAATAAAATATACAAAAACCAAATTTCTTGCCAACGAAAGAAACATACATGATTCAAGAGTAGTTTTGCTCCAAACATTAATATAACAAAGGTGTTTTCCTAACAATTGATGGGGTTTAGAATGCTTTTCTTAATTATTCACCTTTGGTTTGATTGCATTCAATCCCAATACCACAATGATGCGTAAGGCGCAATGGCAAATGAATAGCCGAGCCTTGATCATTGCTACATTTAGATTCAAGCACGTAAATTGCTTGCTTCAACTAGTTTGAAGAAAACCAATAACAATATGCAAAAGGAAGAGATCATGAATATACCTCGAGCAAAGTACACAATGTTTGGAGCAAAGGATTGTCAAAAGTGAAGCAACAAGTTTTAGCTGAGGGAATGTAAATTTAAATGTTGTGATACAGACAAAATTTTGCAATCCTAACTAATTTACTGACTAAACTAAAACATAAGCTTGTGTAGGCTACACGAATACGATAGTACTCCTGCACTGCAGATCCTCTGAATCGACTCCTTACATGAACATACTGTTATAAACAATCAAAATCGATTGAATCAATACCACGCCTTTTGTTGCTTTAGCAAGCAAGTTGGTGTCTGCACATGTAACAACTTGCTGCATCAAAACTACCATTTATGACTCAGCTATGATGGCTGAATCTGATCTCACCGAAGCATCTATTGGAGCTTTATTACTTCTTCTTGTTGTTCCGGAGACAATGAACTTAGTTTTTCTGGTGCTAGGCTCAAAACTTGTTGTAGTAGAGCAGACTCCACCCCAGGTGGAAGCTTAGACTGAGAAAGATTAATCATGATGTTAGATAGTCAGATCAAAAGACTGCATGTTGTAAGCATCGTATAGTAAACAGAATAGAAATTGATTAAAATGGATAAAATGCAGATAATCCGCAACTACCTCAACCTTAAAGTCTGAACATTGCTGCAGACTGTAGTTGGTGGATATGTTTCACACACCATAGCTAAGTATATTAATCAGAGAACAAATTTGGCAACATCTCAAATACGATGCTCTTAGAAATCAAGTGAAACTTTTATATCCATAACAAATTGATACAGATGCACATTTGTTTATTTCAGAAATCTCAATAATGTTTCTATACCATAGCATCTAGAACATGATTATATGCAAAAACCTGAAAACTCAGCACATTCAAATAAATGGAATCAAGCAATGCATGAACACAACCAAATATGAAAAGCCAGAGAAAGAGGAATCCTCAGTCCAAGAGGAGGAAGTCCATAGTTTACCCTCAATGCCCTGCCATCAAGTTCCTGCCAAATGCAATGAAGTCTTTCTTATATACGATATAAGCCTTTATTAGATATGATATACAGGGTTCTCATGAATGCAATACAACTAAATGATGGCAAGACTCAGCAAAATAAATACGGAACTCAACCAATCACTACACTAAAAAACCAACATCAAGAAATGCAACACAAAGCTACAAAACAAAACAACCTTTTCAGAATGAAAGAAACATCGACCAAGTTTCAAACGTCAATCAGTAAAATTGTTTTCACGATAATGCCATGAAACTCTTGCTAAAATAGTTATATACAACAAACAGGGTTCTCAAAGGCCAGAGACTAAGCTCCATCAAACATTTCTTCAGTAAGACAAATCTCAAGCAAGTTTCAACAAATGAATGTTAACAAACACGATTACAAATAAAGTACCAATTCGCAAATCACAAGCTTTCGCATATATAAGAAAATATCAGCAAATGGTCAGACTTAAATATGAAGACTTACATAGCCGTTTAGCTGGCGAGCAGCATATTCAGCTTCTTGAACACTTGACATAGTCACAAACCTAAATCCTCTGCTTCTTCCGGTCGTCTTATCATCATATATCACCTGCTAAAAACCCTCCAAATTTAACCCATAAAACACTAAACCAGCAACAACTGATTTCACTTTTCACCCAAATTTCAAGTAAAATTTACAAAATTTCGAGTGAAAACAAGGAATTACCTTGACCATCTGGACATTTTCAGCACTCTCGAAGATATCAGCGAGCTGAGCGTTATTGACGCTGAAGGGAAAGTTACCCACGAAGAGTTTGAGGTCAGGGGAGGCCTCTCCGTCGTCGCCGAGAACCTCCTCGTCCTGCTTGAACTCGGACGAGACGATGAAGTCATGAAGGAGATGGGAAATGGCGAAAGTGTGAAGGAGAAGAAGATGGATAAATCAGCTACGAGAGAGGATGAGACTAGGAGTTCGCTCGAAACTGAGGGCTCTTACTAAGAACGACTAGCGAGGTGTTCAGTCGGGGCGAGTCCCTTTAGTCTCATTAACTCTTGTTCATGTAAATAACAAACACCAGACTGGACTACCATTTAGTCTAGTCCAATCCAAAGAATGCTAGTGAAGGCAAACAAACATACCTTTATCTTCTTGTGATCACCAAGAAATTAATATTTTAATGAACAGTGCAGGACCATATTTCTTATCATCTCCAACCGAGGTCAAAGGGCCATATGGCTCGTTTTAGCCTTGTCACAAAAAACCGTCTCCAATCGAGGGTCAAAGGGCCAAACATAATTTATTATTTAAATTTAGAAACTACAACTTAAATTTAAAAACTACAACTACAACAAATTAAATGTAATATAACTAAATATTTAAAATAAATTGTGAAAGGAATATGCTAATGAAAGGAAATACAACTACAACTACACCCATTATAATTGTCTCACATCGACCATGGGAGATGAATGAGCAAGGAAACATGCTTATAAAATGAACACCCCAACTTTGACCAAATCACCTTTCTTAGCCCAAAAAATCTAAACCCATAATTAAATATTTTTTAGAAAATTTTGGCCCAAAAAAAAAAATGTAAAAAAAAAATAATTAAATAAATATGACGTTAGCATGTGCCCCAGCCCGGGGCTGGCTGGTTGGTTTGGGCCAGCCGGTTGGCCCTTTGTTTTTTTTTTTTTGGTCCAGTGGAGCCCACGAGCCCTTTGGTTTGTCTCTCGGTTGGAGACGATTTTTAGGTTATTTTTGACCCATTGGATCCTTTGGTTGGGGATGGCCTTAGTCCTGGACGAATTGATAGGAAGATTGAACTAAAACTTCCTAACGAAGAGGAATACATGCCAGTCGCTATACTAGTATTGATGTTTGAATTAGGTTGGTTTATGTTGTCATAGGCAAACATGAATGTTTGCTCTTTCTATTGATTGTCTGTTTGCCATGGGAAAAGGCAGATGAGAAAAAAAGAATGTCATTGAAGTCGATCGGAGCCTCCATATAAACACAAAAAGCACAAACAATTGCAGGAGCTGCTGAGTTAATGGAAGATGCCAAGTCTCTATGTCTTTTGTTCTTTTCCTTCTTTCCCTTTACCAACTGAATTATACAAGCAGGCTAGCTAGGTTAATTTTCAGTTTTTTTCTTCATATACTAAACCCTAGTTAAGAATGCATTTTCTATGGGTTGTGGTCAATCAAGTTATTCAAGCTTTCAGCTTGTGGTGCTAACTGGTACACTTGCCCATGTATGTTGTCTAGATCTGCTTATTCAATCGTACGTAGCCAATTATTAAGTTTAGTACGTAAACGCCATTGTTACTCAAAGTCAAGTGCGTTAGGCGCTGTCAAATTTTATTGAGTATTTGAGATGCCAGAATATGAACGAAGCATGCATCTTTGAAATTTCAACATCAGCATGCAAATCATGCAGGAGCATCGATCCAAAATTCCATGCTGACTTCGACGTAACTTTTCGACCGTCGGCAAATTAAGGACAAGAAAGCGAATAAGCTCATCGACGGACATCATATATTTGGATTCTTCCTCAACACGTTGCATGTCGAAACCAAATTTGAATGACACTTTGAAAGTTTGGCCTCTTTCTATTGTGGAAATGTCACAAATAACTGGTCAATACCAAATTTAAAGACGAAAAAAACTCGTTTTTGGTGTTTGTATACATGATTTGGACAATCTGGACAACAAGTGAAACTGTTATTTGTGTGATCCAGATTGTTGTTCAAGCAACGGAGCAAGAGCAATATTCTTTTTCTAGCTCACGTGGTGTATATAATTTGATCAAGTGGAGTTGATTTGGTCCTTCAGTGTGGTATTCCAATACTGCAAAAATGCATTGATTGACCAGCACAAAAATGCACGATCCACAATGAATGATTGTAGCAGATGTGAACGCAATTACATTGTTAAAGTGAATGCATTTCTCTATATGTATTAATTTCTAAACTCTTTCTTCACAAATTTATATTAGTTTAAAGTATAATGTCACTATTATAAAGAAACGATAAATGTGTACACGATGACATGTCAAATTAATCGGTAGTTATAGTACAAGTAGCATTCTCGTGGTGGATTTTTATTTCTTGATTTATCTAAATAACTAAACAATCTCAAAATAAAATGAATTTTCTAAACTTGTTTAACAAGATATAATTGAAAGGAATTGCTACAATATGAATTAAAATTCCATTCTATACTCCAAACTTTCTATATTTGGAAAAAAAAAATACAAGGAGTGTAGAATGAGATTTTTGGAGTGCCAATAACACTTCTCTGTGAATTAAGAAGATGAAATCAAGAATAAACGGATCTGTTTAATTTAATAAATAATTAGGCGAAATCCCAAGAGCTAATTTAGGACCTAATAGTTACGTTGCGAGAAGTCGAGGTTATTTTAGTCTAATCACGTTAGTCATCGCAATGATCGCCACTAAAGAGACCGGAATAGCCGGTAAAAATATTCTTCAAAAGCGAACAATGGACCCCACATGGTGCTTAGACTGGTAACATTGTAACAGACCGCGTCCTGCGTTATCCAATTCCCAATTTTTCCCTTTAAATTCGGAATGCAACCTCCCCAAAACTGTCTACTGTTCATTTTGCTCTTCCAAACTCCCAAAACCATCGTCTCTCTCTAAAAATGTCCACCAGTCTCATCCACTTCCGGCCAAACCTAGCCGCGCCATGCGCCGCCGGAAATCGAAAGTCCAGCTCAGTTGGCGGGAAAGGCTTGCCGTTCAAGTGGTGGACCCCGCTCTTCGGGTGGTCATCCGAACCCGACTACATTGACCCGGAGGCAAAGACAGAGTCAGACGACAAGGCCCAGGGCGGAGCAGCCGACTCGAAACCACGGCGATCGCGGTTCTCGCCTGGCTGCTTTACGGAGGAGAAGGCGCGGCAGCTCCGGATGAAGACGATCGAAACGGAGACGTTTCATGACGCCATGTACCACTCGTCGATCGCCACCAGACTCGCCTCCGATTTTAAGAACCGGTCCGATCTTTGAGCCGGCGATTTAGGGATGATGACAATAATGTTTAGCCCCAAATCATCTATTTTTGTTTTTTCATAAAGTAGGATTAGGGGTGATGGAAAATGTGAAAGATGGTGACATCCATGATGTAATTAACGCTTGTTTTAGCTAATTGCGTGATTTAGAAGATTAAGCATGTAATTATTGATGTTGTGTATATTTTATATATATATATATATATTTTTTTTTTTTTAATTTGGTTTCTCATGAGATATTAAATGACCTACCTAAAAAAATTGAGATTTCAACTTTTCTTGTAATTTCGATGATCAAGATGTTTAAATTTAATTGAGATAATGACGGTTAGGTGACGAGGATTAAGATAAACTAGGTTTGCTTACATCGGTTGAATCGTTCAAGATCAATAATAAATCCTAGTGATATTGGGGTAGGAGGTGACGAGAAGCCGAGAACACATGCCCTCGGGTGCAAATAGGCGTGGCACAATCGCCTTGCAAGGTCTAGGTCAAGTTGGTTGTGGCATATTTGGATCTTTTGTAGGATCCTACAACTAGGAAAAGTATCCAAACTGCGAATATGCCCGTGAGGTATCGCACAGAATCCATAGATCATGAGACTCGTTATTCATGACAGGGACACCGTACTTGGGAGGCTTGGCCAGATATTTTCACCAAAAAAGTACTGATGTACCATATCGGAGGCCAACTCCGCAAGAGAAACTTCTATGCACCAGAAATGTCATGTTGGTGGTAGCCCAAGCAAATTGCTCACAGGCACACTGCTGCGTGAGAAAGTCCGAAAATATTTCAAGTACTAAAAACATGATACACGACATGGAATGAGGATCCTCTCCAAATCGTCTTTGTGAGGATCCTGAGGATCCTCAAATCGTGCCCGTTCATCGTATATCGTGCAATCATAAATTATTTTAAATAGTTTTATTTAAAATTAATTATGAACTGTATCGGAAGAAAACTGACCGCACGATATCCAATGAACGGACATGATTTGAGGATCCCCGTGATCCTCACAAAGAGGATCCAGAGAGGATCCTCATTCACGACATTGCCCGATTGGCTTAGGATATTGCCTGCGTGGCATCCTAGGCATAGGTGAGTTAGTCTCCTACCCTGCAGAAGACAGACAAAATAAAAGACTCCGGCGCGCAATGTTAGCAAAACCAAGCCCCCACTCGACCTCTCAGCATAACAAAGCATGTACAACTGCAACCACAACAAACCTAGTAATTGACAAAACGAGTTTACTCAATTGTATTTATTCACTTGCAATTATAAGCCGGAAACAGATTGCAGTGCGGCCAATGAAAAGAAGACAAAATGTAGCATCAGTATAACTCCATAATAGATGGAGATAATCTGAAATTATCCTACGACAATGTATCAAAATAGCCTTAAGCTAATGTTGGTGCCACTGGAACATTGACCTGAAAGAACCCGCAAAACGATCCATGTTGTTGAAGAGGTGTAAGCTACTGCACAACTCAAACCATGCTCTTGACATTCACTTGCTCTCAACATCATACAGATCAGTTCTGAATACATCTGTTAAGGATAAACACAACAGAATGTCGAGAAGACAATAAAGACAGGAAGAAAGTGAAATAAAAAGAGTTTGAAGAATCAAATAAATGAAACATTCACAAGTAGCAAGTTACAAGAGTAAATTCGTGATTCCGTACCACTTTGGGTGAGAATTAGTATCTTATGCGACAACGCTATGCTTATGTGTTTCTCTTTACATAAGTCAAACATAAGGACTTCTTCGCAAAGACAGAATTTCAAATTTCAAAAGGAACCACATCAGAACAAACGAGTCAGTCTGTTATGTATCAACCGAGCTCGAAGGTAATCTATTTTAACAGTTGATATCTCCAAACCATCACCGCATTGTTAATACAAATTCTAGCTTGCAATTCAAACAATTCTCTAAAACCAATCCTACCCTGCTCCTTTCACCCACGGTCCACCACCAGAACATGCAACCATGAAAATAAACGAGCACTCTCATGGA